CAACAACTACATAGTGCAAGGGTGTGCCTAGCTGGGTATAATTTGATTGGATAGATTAGGTAGGTCCTCATATTCCATAATTTTGGTAAATCTAATGTTGACTGTACAAAGATTGTATGATCAGATTGTAATGTGTAAGGTGACCCAGAGGTTTACCAAAACAAAAAACTATGTAATGCGAGGACCTACCTAAACTATCCAATCAATCTGTATCCAACCAAATTCCAGATCTAAAGGAGAATCTGACCATACAATCTTTGTACAATCAACTTTACAATGACCAAATCTATGTAATACAAGGGCCTCAACTATCCAATCTGTATTTGATCAGACAGGCCCTTGTACTACACAGTCAAAGGAGTTTGTATAACGTGTGGTAAGTAAGCCTTAGAGCCATCATACACATTATGATCTGGCCATACATTCTTTGTACAATCAACTTTACAATGACCAAATCTATGTAATACAAGGGCCTCAACTATCCAATCTGTATTTGATCAGACAGGCCCTTGTACTACACAGTCAAAGGAGATTGTATAACGTGTGGTAAGCCTTAGAGCCATCATACACATTATGATCTGGCCATACATTCTTTGTACAATCAACTTTAGACAACGATGTAATACGAGGACCTAACTAATATAGTCAATCAATTTGAATCCAGCCAGGCAGGCTCTTGAACTACACATAATGGCTTTCTGTGCCATCTATGGTAGTTTTTTTTTTTTTTTCCTTTAATAATTAATTACTGACCACTTTGTAATCTTAGTTACATAGTTAGTCTGGCTGAAAAAAGACAAAAGTACATCCAGTTCAACCATTAAAAAAAAAAAAAAAAGTTATAATCCTATACCCACAGTTGATCCAGAGGAAGGCAAAAAAAAAAAAACAGCAAAGCACGATCCAATTTACTCCTGTAGGGAAAAAATCCTTCCTGATCCCCTGAGAGGCAATCAGATATTCCCTGGATCGACTTTACCTATAGTATCCAGTTACAATCTGATTGTATCATCTGATGTAACATCTACTTCTATTATCTGCAAACTGTATCAATGTTTTCTATTTTTGAAAACAAAATAAATATATTGGACAAAAAAAATGAGTTTGTTAAAGTTAAAGCGTTAAGCCCCATCACCAGAATATTGATACATCCACATAAAAGCATTCACATAAAAAAACAACCATTTCTAACCATTTCACATGCGGATCAACGTTTAGCCTGGGTTCACACATCTGCGTTGCGGCATATCGCATGTGATTCGCACAGGAATCACACGGCATTCTTGTGCAAATCCCAAGCAAATTATGTGCGGTGCGATTTGAGCATACATACATTTTGTATGGCTCAAATCGCACCCCATCCGCATGAAAAAGGTGCAGGACCCTTTTTTTTTCGTCCACACTAGAATTGGATAGCATGCGTATTCACACCCATGTAATCAGACTCTGCACACCGCACCAATTTTGGGGTGTTGTTAACATACACACCCGCAGCGGTTCGCATGAATGGGGTGCAATTGTGATGCGGAGAGAGAATTCTCACAGAAACCGGTGCGACTTCAGAACCACGTCAGTGTGAACCCAGGCTACACCAGAGATGTGATATATAGAGGACCTCCTTCCAGTAGAGCCGTACTGCAGCATTGTCTCTTCTATCAGAGGGATAGGTGTGATCCAGTACTGCACCAGCGGAGGTACCCCAGCTTAACCCTGCACGGCTGGAGCTTCCCAACTGCGCTACTGCTAGTATTGTATGATCAAGATTTACATTTATACTGCAACCCGTGTTCCCTGTGTGCTTCTACGTGCATTTTTTTTAACTGCATTCCATATGCAGTGCATTCCGGTGTGAAAAAATAAAAAAAATGCAGCATGCTCTACTTTTTTTTTTTTAAGTGCATGTGAAAGAACTGCAATGGTGTAAACTAGGCTCATCCAAATACATTCATTTTTCTTGCATATGCGTTCATGCTGTTTAAAAATGCATTCAATTCCATATGGTGTAAATGAGCCCTATCCCTGCGTACTCTCCATTATACTTTTATTTATTTGCCCTAATTGTTACATTTTCAGGACAAGCTTTTTTTTTTTTTTTGAGGGGGGTTGGAATGCGATTACCAGTGAACACCATTAAAGCTTGTCCTGAAAATGTAGCTGCTGGCATAAAAGAAATGTCCATGGACAGAACTCCGTTCTTTTGTTGCAAGTGCACTGATACGGCTACAATCACTCCGAGCGTGACTAACCCAGCACAACTTTCCAGCTAACCCAATGGGACGCCCCACTGCAGCAGCCCTGAAAGTGAGGCCAGACTGGATCTAACTGGTTCCTACCCACGCTCAGGCAATCTGATACCCTACTGCTCATTCTCCGTATTCAGGACGCATTAAACCGATTAAAAGATACAAATGATTCGGAGGTTCTGCTATTTCGATCAGTGCAGCGACAGTTCTGCATAGCAGCTGAAGTCTGACACACACACCCCCTTCACACGGTCATGCAGAGAGCAAGGATGGTCATTTCACATCACTTGCAGCATCCTTGCGTTTCACTTTAGCACAGTGCAGGGGGAGTCATCCTAATATCTGGGCCAAGACACTATCTGCATGGAGTTTGCATGTTCTCCCTGTGCTTGCTTGGGTTTCTGCTGGGTACTCCAGCTTCCTCCCACACTCCAGAAACATGCTGGGAGCTTGACTGACTTCTGGCTACAATGACCCTAGTATGTATGCAGGGGCGGACTGACCATTTGGAAACTCGGGCACTACCCGAGGGCCCGGGGTCAGTAGGGGGCCCCATGAGATGACCCTGGTACCTTTTTCATAGGCTTTTTTGAGTTTGGGCAAGGACACAGGGGCCCCATGATCCCCTATTGCCCAGGGTTCCCATGAGTTGTCAGTCCGCCCATGTATGTATGTGATGTAGGACCTTCGATTGTAAGCTCTTGAGGGCAGGGATTCATAGAACAGTATGTGAATGCACAACATGCAAAGTGCTGCGCAAATTGTCTGCACTGTATAAATGTCTGTAATAAGTAATTAGCTCCCGAGGATTACTGCACTTTGCTCAGTGTGCCAGATCCTGCTACACATAGGCTGAAAAGTTGGGTTGTATGCCTGATACACATACTGCAATCAGGTTGTACAATTTCAGTCAGATTGTATAGACATCTTAATGTCTATGAAAGCAATTAAGATACAACCCCATAAGTCAGATTGTACAGAGGTCTCAAAGTCTATGGAAGCGACTAGGATTACAAGTCTTTGGATGGATAGTACAGAAAAGTCAATTCTATGGAAACAATTAAAATGCAACCCTTTGGCTGAATTGTACTGTCATCTTAATGTCTATAGATGCAATTAAGACACAACTCTTTGGTTGAATTGTGCCGAAATCTCAATGACTATGGAAGAGATAGAGATAAAACTCTTTGACTGGGTTGTACTGAACTCTCAATGTCTATGGAAGCAATGAAGATCCAACCCTTCGATTGGATTGTACAGGCATCCTAATGTCTATGGAACCAATTGAGATACAACTCTTTGGCTTGATTGTACAGAAATCTCAGTGTCTATGAAAGAGATTGAGCTACAACTCTTTGGTTCGATTATATAGAAATCTCAATGTCTGCGGAAGAGACAAAGATACAACTCTTTGGTTGGATTATATAGAAATCTCAATGTCTGTGGAAGAGATAGAGATACAACTCTTTGGTTGGATTGTATAGAAATCTCAATGTCTGTGGAAGAGATTTAGATACAACTCTGGTTGGATTGTATAGAAATCTCAATTTCTATGGAAGAGACAGAGATACAACTCTTTGGTTGGATTGTATAGAAATCTCAATGTTTGTAGAAGAGATTGAGATACAACCCTTTGGTTGGATTGTATAGAAATCTCAATGTTTGTGGAAGAGAAAGAGATACAACTCTGGTTGGATTGTATAGAAATCTCAATGTCTAGGGAAAAGAGATACAACTCTTTGGTTGGATTGTATAGGAATCTCAATGTCTATGGAAGAGACAGAGATACGATTCTTTGGTTGGGTTGTATAGGAATCTCAATGTCTGTGGAAGAGACAGAGATACGATTCTTTGGTTGGATTGTATAGGAATCCTAATGTCTAGGGATGTGATTGAGATACAACTCTTTGGTTGGGTTGTATAGGAATCTCAATGTCTGTGGAAGAGACAGAGATACGATTCTTTGGTTGGATTGTATAGGAATCTCAATGTCTGTGGAAGAGACAGAGATACAGAGATAGGAATCCTAATGTCGGGATTCTTTGGGGTTGGATTGTATAGGGTTGGGTTGTCTCAATGTCTGTGGAAGAGACAGAGATACGATTCTTTGGTTGGATTGTATAGGAATCCTAATTTCTAGGGATGTGATTGAGATACAACTCTTTGGTTGGATTGTATAGGAATCTCAAGGTCTACTGAAGCAACTGCGATACAACTCTTTGGTTGATCTCTATGTCTGTGGAAGCAATTAGGACTGGTAAAGCTAATTTGAGGGAGTTGGATAACTTTCACAGATCCGATTGATTCAACTGTCCAACTCGTGATCAAACATCTGGAGGTGAATGGAGCAATCCCACCATTCTTCTGTTTTTTTTTATTATCAAGATGACCATTTTCCCCAACTCTTCCTGCACCCCTGTGATGGTGAGATGGAAAAGACTGCAGTGGGTGACCACACTAATGCAGTCCTCCAGTGAACCTGAGTCAGGGGGCTGGTGATTGGATGCCGGTTGCATCCGGTGACAGTGGGTGAGCATGTGACCCAGCAAAGTGAGCAGACAGTGCTGGCGGGGTACCCTTCCCTGGGTGACACCTGGTGACACCCATCCTCCCTAAATCAGACATGCCATCCTGCCATGGCACAGAGGAGGGGATGGGGAGGCCTGTACTGCAGTCTGCAGAGGTGCAATGAATGGATGGATGGATGGGTCAGCATCATCAGAGCCATCATGGCCATCCTTGGCATGTCTTACTTACTTGTGAGCACCGCATAGACGCACTGGAGCACCGGCTGGTACTTTAACCCCCTGAAGGCCGAGCTGGGGATCCTTTCCTTAATCCCTTCATAGAATATTCTCCTGGCCACCTCCTGCTCTGAGGCTTGGAATTCACGAATATACAGCTGCTCCTTCATGCCCTCCTCTGCCCCGGAGCCAGGGGGCGCCAGAGAGGAGGTGCTGCTGCCGGGCAATGGGGGCCACACCTGTCCCGGGGCCACCATCAGGGGGTCCTTCTGGGGCGCCGCTATGGAGCTGGGATCGTCTGCCAGGATTCCCGTCTCACAAACCATCTTTGGAGGCAGAAAATGCATGCAGATGGGGGGTGCGGAGGGGTGCAGAGGCTGCACAGGGGGGGTCGGATGGATGGATGGAGAGCCGCCGCTGGGAGGGAGGGATGGATGGATGGCTGGGGGACAGTGAGCGCACAGCGGCCGGGAAGCGGCAAAGAATGTGCTCTGCATGATACACCGCTATTTATACGGCGGCCAAGCCGGTACACCGAGCCAGCGCGGAGCTTCCCGGGCCCTAGCACCGACCACATTGGATGCCGGGGCCCTCCATGTGATGCCTGGGAGGAACCATCACCCCCCCCCCCCCCCCACCTATCATTGCTGCTTTATTCCAGGCCATGGGCAATGACAAGGGACCAGCATGACTCTGCAGGTGGAGCCCGGGGACCCAGATGTCACATGACACTGCAGGCAGGCAGAGAATACCATCCCTTCACTGCACGGAGGGCTGAAGTGACCCGGCAAATTCATTACCGCACACTCCTTGGACTCATTATAATCACTGCACGGAGGGCAGAAGTGCACCTAGGGCCATTATCACCCCCCTGCACGTGACACTACAGGCTGTCATTCTAAGTATAATAATTCACTGTAGGGAGGGCAAAAGTGCACCTAGAGCCATAACATCAACCAGCATATGACACTACATGCAGCCATATTATTAGAATAATTCACTGATGGGAGGGCAGAAGTGCACCTAGGGCCATATTGCACATGACACTACATGCAGCCCACTGATGGGAGGGCACATGACACTACCCATGACACTACAAACTGCCTAAGTATGATTAGTGCCATTATCATTCACTGACACTACAGGCTGTCATTCTAAGGTAGGGAGTGCAGAAGTGCACCTAGGGCAATCACCAGCATCACTACATGCAGCCATATGATAAGAATAATTCACTGATGGGAGGGCACACCTACCAAACTGACACTACAAACTGTTCTAAGTATAATAATTCACTGTAGGGAGTGCAGAAGTGCACCTAGGGCCATTATCATCGCCCTGCACGTGACACTACATGCAGCCATATGATTAGAATAATTCACTGATGGGAGGGCAGAAGTGCACATACAGTAGTTAGTCTGGCTGAAAAAAGACAAAAGTCCATTCAGTTCAACCATTAAAGAAAAAAAAGTTATAATCCTATACCCACAGTTGATCCAGAGGAAAGCAAAAAACACCCAACAAAGCATGATCCAATTTGCTCATACTGGGAAAAAAATTCCTTTCTGATCCCCCGAGAGGCAATCTTATATTCCCTGGATCAACTTTACCTATAAATGTTAGTATCCAGTTATAATTATTTATTTCAGGTTCTTATATAGCGCCATCAATTTACACCGCGCTTTACATATATATTGTACATTCACATCAGTCCCTAACCCTCAAGGGGGTACAATCTAAGGTAGTTATATTCTGTGTATCTAAGAAAGAATCCAGGACTTTTTTGAAGCAATCCACTGAGCTGGCCAGAACCAACTCTTGAGGGAGTCTATTCCACATTTTCACAGCTCTCACTGTGAAGAAACTTTTCCATGTTTGGAGATTAAATTTCTTTTCCTCCAGATGTAAAGAGTGCCCCCTTGTCCCCTGTGATGAACTCAGGGTGAATAACTCTACACCGGTTCACTATATGAACCACTGATGTATTTATACATGTTGATCATATCCCCCCTTATGTATTATCCTGTTGATCATATCCCCCCTTAATCTCCTCTCTTCTCAAGAGAGAATAAATTCAGTTCCTCTAATCTTTCCTCATAGCTGAGCTCCTCCATGCCTCTTATCAGTTTGGTTGCCCTTCTCTATACTTTCTCCAGTTCCCCAATGTTCTTTTTGTGAATTGGTGCCCCAAACTGAACTGCATATTCCAGATGAGGTCTTACTAATGATTTGTAATATGATATCTCTCGCTGAAGTCTATACCTTTCCTAATACAAGAGAGGATTTTGCTCGCTTTAGAAACCGCAGCTTGGCATTGCATGCCATTATTAAGCTTGTGATCTACCAGAACCCCCAGATCCTTCTCCACCATTGATTCCCCCAGTTGTACCCCCCCTAGTATGTATGATGTATGCATATTCTTAGCCCCCAAGTGCAGAACCTTACATTTATCAACATTAAACCTCATTTGCCACATAGTTGCCCAATTACACAGTGCATTGAGGTCGGCTTGTAAATTGGAGACATCCTGTAAGGACGTTATTCCACTGCACAGCTTGGTGTCATCTGCAAAGACTGAAATGGGATTTATAATCCCAGACCCTATATTGTTTATAAATATATTAAAAAGTAAGGGTCCCTACACTGAACCTTGGGGTACACCACTGACAACCCTAGACCATTCAGAGTATGAATGATTAACCACTACTCTCTGAATACGATCTTTTAGCCAGTTTTCTATACATTTACATACAGATTTTTCCTGTAGACTTTACCTTACACAGCCATGTGTGGGGAACTGTGTCAAACGCTTTTGCAAAATCCAAGTATACAGCGTCCACCGCCACCCCTCCAAGTATACCACGTTCACAGCCACCTCTCTGTCCAAGTATACCAAATCTACCGCCACCCCTCTGTCCAAGTATACCACGTCCACAGCCACCTCTCTGTCCAAGTATACCACGTCCACCGCCACCCCTGTGTCCAAGTATATCACGTCCACCGCCACCCTGTCTGTTATGTATACCACGTCCACAGCCACCCTCTGTCCAAGTATACCACATCCACCGCCACCCCTCTGTCCAAGTATACCACGTCCACCGCCACCCCTCTGTCCAAGTATACCACGTCCACCGCCACCCCTCTGTCCAAGTATACCACCCATCCACCCCCTCTCTGTCCAAGTATACCACGTCCACCGCCACCCCTCTGTCCACCGTCCACCCCACCCCACTGTCCAAGTATACCACGTCCACCGCCACCCCTCTGTCCAAGTATACCACGTCCACCGCCACCCCCCCTCTGTCCAAGTATACCACGTCCACAGTCACCCCTCTGTCCAAGTATACCATGTCCACCGCCATCCCTCTGTCCAAGTATACCACGTCCACTCAGGGGCGTATCCACCGTGAGGCAAACAAGGCATTTGCCTAGGGTGGCATTTTGCAGGGGGGCGGCGCCGCCCCCCGGAAGAAGGGACACACGAGGCAGCTGGCAGGTGACCGAGGATGGGGACCAGGTGAGTGCCGGCACTGCATGAGCTCACTCACTGGCTGCTACACTCCAGATCAGAGCAGCGCTTGGTGTCAGAGAAGGTTTGCTCCTGGGCTGAGCCGGGTGACAGGTGAGAGATCCGCAGCAGCAGAGAGAGGTGTCGGCTGGCTGCAGCTATGACAGGTGCTGGGTGTCAGTGTTGTGTGTACGGAGGGGATTGGAGGAGTATGAGCAAAAAGAGGCAGACACCTCAGCAGGAGACAGCACAGCAAGGAGGAGGATGGAAGGATGGGATCTGCTGCTCCATGGAGTCAGGGGAGATCACAGCCAGGGAGGACTATTAGTACCAGCTGTACCCAGGATCCTGTCTGCTCTGGCCATGGAGTCTTAGATCTGTAATTGTACTATATGCATATTGCATCTACTGCTGTTATATACTGTTATAGTGAGCAGATCTATACAGCCTGGAGGACTACAAGTACCAGCTGCACTGGGAATCCTATCTGATCAGGCTAGTCTCTCTCTCTTTCTTTTCCTCTCTCCCTTCCTATTTATCTTTCTCTCCCTCTTTCTCTTGATCTCCTTTCTCTCCCTTTTTATCTATCTATCTCTATATCTCTTTTTCTCTCCATCCCTCTTTCTCTCTTTATCTTTTTCTCTCTTGCCCTCTATTTTCTATCTTTCTCCCTCTTTCTCCCTCTTTATCTCTCTCTCTGCCTTTGTATCTCTTTCTCACTCTCCCTCTTTTTCTCTCACCCTTTTTCTTTCTCTTTATATCTCTCTCCCTCTATCTTTCTATGTCTCTCTCTTGATCTCTCTTTCTCTCCCTCTCTCTTTATCAACTCACTCTTTATCTCTTTCTATCTTTCCCTCTTTTCATTCTTTCTCTCCTATCTCTCTTTTTCTCCCCTCCTCTTTATCTTTCTCTCTCTATTTCTATTTCTCTCTTTCCCTCCCTCTTTCTCTCTCTGTATCTTTATCCCCCCTCCCTCTCTCCCTCCCCCCCCCCCCTCTCTCTCTCTCTCTCTCTCCTCTTTATCTCTTTCACTCTCTTTCTATCTCTGTCTCTTGATCTCTTCCACTCCCTCCCTTTTTATCTTTCTCCCTCTTTATCTCTTTTTTTATTATCTTCCCTTTTACTTTCTCTCCCTCTTTATCTATATTTTGCTCTTAAATTTAGATGGGGGGGGGCGCAGATGTTAGTGTTGCCTAGGGCAGCACAAAACCAAAATACACCACTGCGTCCACTGCCACCCCTCTGTCCAAGTATACCACGTCCACCACCACCTCTCTGTCCAAGTATACCATGTCCACTGCCACCCCTCTGTCCAAGTATACCACATCTACTGCCACCCCTCTGTCCAAGTATACCACGTCCACTGCCACCCCTCTGTCCAAGTATACCACGTCCACCGCCACCCCTCTGTCCAAGTATACCACGTCCACCGGCACCCCTCTGTCCAAGTATACCACGTCCACCGCCACCCCTCTGTCCAAGTATACCACGTCCACCGCCACCCCTCTGTCCAAGTATACCACGTCCACCGCCACCCCTCTGTCCAAGTATACCACGTCCACCGCCACCCCCTCTGTCCAAGGTTTTGCTCACCTCCTCATAAAAAGAAATCAGATTTGTTTGACAACTTCTGTCTTTCATGAATCCATGCTGTCTGTTGCTTAAAATATTTTTTTTCACGCAAGAACTCATCTATGTGGTCTTTTATTAAACTCTCCAGTATCTACCCAACTATAGAAGTTAAACTAACAGGTCTATAATTACTTGGTAAAGATTTCGACCCCTTTTGAAATATTGGCACCACATTGGCCTTCTGCCAATCCAGTGGTACTATGCCAGTCAATAAAGAGTCCCTAAAAATTAGAAACAATGGCTTTGAAATGACAGAGCTCAATTTTCTCAATGCACCTAGGGCCATCACCGTCACCCATCATATGACACTACATGCAGCCATATGATTAGAATAATTCACTGAAGGGAGGGCAGAAATGCACATAGGGCCATTATCATCCCCCTGCATATGACACTACATGCTGTCATTCTAAGTATAATAATTCACTGTAGGGAGGGCAGAAGTGCACCTAGTACTATCATCATCGCCCTGCACATACTTACCAGTTAAATTACTGCTGCACACTACATGGCTTCATTATAATTATATTCACTGCACGGAGGGCAGAAGTGCACCTAGTGCCATCATCATCACCCAGCATATGGCACTACATGTGGTCATTACAATACTATATCAATGATTCACTGCAGGGAGTGCAGAAGTACACCTAATGTCATTTCCCTGCACATGACATTATACACAGTCATATGATTAGAATAATTCACTGCAGGGAAGACATAAGTGCACCCAGGTCCATCATCATCACCCAGCATATGACACTACATGTGGTCATTACAATTATATACAGTTAGGTCCATATATACAGTATTTGGACACAGGCACAATTTTAGTTTTTTTCAGGTATTTACCAAAACATATTCAAGCTATAGTTATATAATGGATATGGGCTGAAAATGCACACTGTCAGGTTTAATTTGAGGGTATGTACATCCAAACTGGAGGAAGGGTTTAGGAATTACAGCTCTTGAGAGTAGCCATCACCCCCTTTTTCAAGGGACCAATTGGACAATTGAATCAAAAGCTGTTTCATGGCTTTTTTCAAATCCATCTGAGAGATAGCAGCAACATTAGGAGTGGCCAAATCAACAGTTTGGTACATTCTGAGGAAAGAAGAATGCACTGGTGAGCTCAGCAACATAAAAAGGCATGGACATCCACGGAAGACAACAGTGGTGGATGATCGCTGGATCCTCTCTATGGTAAAGAAAAAACCCATTCACGACATCCAGACAAGTGAAGGACACCTCCAGGAGGTGGGCGTATCATTGTCAAAGTCTACAATCAAAAGAAGACTTCACGAGAGCAAATACAGGGGGTTCACCACAAGGTGCAAACCATTCATAAGCCTGAAGAATAGAAAAGCCCAATTAGACTTTGCCAAAAAAAATCTAAAAAAGCCAGACCAGTTCTGGAAAATCATTCTTTGTACGGTTGAAACTAAGATTAATCTGTACCAGAATGATGGGAAGAAAAAAGTGTGGAGAAGGCTTGGAACAGCTCATGATCCAAAGCACACAGCGTTGTCTGTAAAACATGGTGGAGGCAGTGTGATGGCATGGGCATGCATGGCTTCCAGTGGCACTGGGTCATTGGTGTTTATTGATGATGTGACAGAAGACAGAAGCAGCCGGATGAATTCTGAAGTGTTTAGAGATATATACTGTCAGCCCAGATTCAGCCAAATGCAGCAAAGTTGATTGGACGGCGCTTCACAGTACAGGTGGACAATGATCCAAAACACAGTGCAAAAGCAACCCAGGAGCTTTTGAAGGAAAATGAGTGGAATATTCAGCAATGGCCGAGTCAATCACCTGATCTCAACCCAATTGAGCATGCATTTCACTTGCTGAAGGTAAAACTAAAGGCAGAAAGCCCCACAAACAAAGAACAACTGAAGACAGCAGCAGTTAGAGCCTGGCAAAGCATCAGAAATGAGGAAACCTAGTCTTTGGTAATGCCCATGTGTTCCAGACTTCTCAACAAAATATTAAATATGAACATTTTATTTATGATCATATTCATTTGTCCAATTAGATTTGATCCCTTGAAAAAGGGGGGGGGGGTTACTCTTAAAGAGCTGTAATTCCTAAACCCTTCCTCCAATTTTGATGTACATACCCTCAAATTAAACCTAAGAGTTTGCACTTTCAGCCCATATCCATTATATAACTATAGCTTGAATATGGTTTGGTAAATACCTGAAAAAACTAAAATTGTGCCTGTGTCCAAATATATATGGATCTAACTGTATTAATGATTCACTGCAGGGAGGACATGAGTGCACCTAGTGCCATTATCATCGCCCTGCACATACCTACTACTTATATTACTACTGCACACTACATGGCTTCATTGTAATTATATTCACTGCATGGACAACAGAAATGCACCTAGTGCCATCATCATCACCCCCAGTATATGACACTACAATTATATATTAATGATTTACTGCAGGGAGTGCAGAAGTGCACCTATAGTCATTATCATCATCTGGCATATGACACTACATGCAGTCATTATAATAATTCACTGCAGGGAAGCAGAGGTGCACCTAGGGCAAATATGACCACCCTGCGCAAGACACTACATGCAGTTGTTATAATTTCTATTAATGATTCACTGCAGGGAGTGAAGAAGAGCACCCAGGGCCATTATCATCACCAACATATGATACTACATGCAGTCATTATAAGTATAATAATGCATTGCAGGGAGGGCAGAAGGGCACCTAGTGCCATTATCCTCACCTTGCACATACAGTGGATAAAGTCTACACACCCCTGTTAAAATATCAGGTTTCTGTGATGTAAAAAAAAATGAGACAAACATAAATCATTTCAGAACTCTTTCCACCTTTAATGTGACCTATAAACTGTACAACTCAGTTGAACAACAAACTGAAATCTTTTAGGTGGAGGGAAGTAAAAATAAAAAACTAAAATAATATGGTTGCATAAGTGTGCACACCCTTACACTAATACTTTGTTGAAGTACCTTTTGATTTGATTCCAGCACTCAGTCTTTTTGGGTATGAGTCTATCAGCATGACACATCTTGACTTGGCAATATTTGCCCACTCTTCCTTGCAAAAACACTCCAAATCTGTCAGATCTCCTGTGACTGGCCTCTTCAGATCACCCCATAGATTTTCGATCGTATTCAGGTCTGGGCTCTGGCTGGGCCATTCCAAAACTTTAATCTTCTGGTGAAGCCATTACTTTGTTGATTTGGATGTATGCTTTGGGTCGTTGTCATTCTGAATGATGAAGTTCCTCTTCATGTACAGCTTTCTAGCAGAAGCCTGAAGGTTTTGTGCCAATATTGACTTGTATTTGGAACTGTTCATAATTCCCTCTACCTTGACTAAGACCCCAGTTCCAGCTGAAGAAAAACAGTCCCAAAGCATGATGCTGCCACCACCATGCTTCACTCTGGGTATGGTGTTCTTTTGGTGATTTGCAGTGTTGTTTTTGCACCAAACATATCTTTCTTTGGAATTATGGCCACAAAGTTCAACCTTGGTTTCATCAGATTTATAACACATTTTCCCACATGCTTTTGGGAGACTTCAGATGTGTTTCTGCAAAATTTAGCCGGGCTTGGGTGTTTTTCTTCATAAGAAAAGGCTTCTGTCTTGCTACTCTACCCCATAGTCCAGACATATGAAGAGTAGGGGAGATTGTTGTCACATGTACCACACAGCCAGTACTTGCCAGATATTCCTGCAGCTCCTTTAACCACTTGCCTACCAGGCACTTATACCCCCTTCCTTACCAGGCCAATTTTCAGCTTTCAGCGCTGCCGCACTTTGATTGACAATTGCGCGGTCATGCAACATTGTACCCATATGAAATTTTGATCATTTTTTTTCTCACAAATAGAGCTTTCTTTTGGTGGTATTTAATCGCTACTGGGCGCTTTACTTTTTGCGCTATAAATAAAAAAAGTGCAAAAAATTTGAAAAAAAAAAAAAAAAGTTTCTTTGTTTCTTTTTTTAAAATTTTTCAAACAGGTATTTTTTTCTCCTTCACTGATGTGCGTTGATGAGGCAGCACTGATGGGCACTGATAGGCGGCACTGATGGGCACTGATAGGCAGCACTAAAGGGCACTGATAGGCAGTACTAATGAGGTGGCACGGATAGGTGGCACTGATAGACAGCACTAATGAGGTGTCACGGATAGGCGGCACTAATATGCAGCACTGATAGGCAGCACTGATAGGTGACACTGATGATGGGTACTGATATACGGCACTGACTGGCATCACTGATGGGCACTGACTGGCGGCACTGACTGGCACAACCCCTGGGCACTTACTGGTGGCACTGACTGGCAGCACTGCTGGGCTGCACTGGTGGGTGGCACTGGTGGGTGGGCACAGGTGGGTGACACTGGTGGGTGGGCACAGGTGGGTGGCACTGCTGGGCACAGGTAGGTGGCACTTCTGGGCACAGGTAGGTGGCACTGCAGAGTGGCACAGGTGGGTGCACTGCTGGGCACAGGTGGGGGCACTGCTGGGCACAGGTGGGGGCACTGCTGGGCACGGGTGGGCGGAGCTAGTGGGCGCACTGCTTGGCACAGGTGGGCGGAAGTTGCGGGTGTCACTGCTGGGCACGATCATCAGGGCACTGATCATCAGTGCCCTGATGATCGGTGCCGATCCCCGCTCTGACAACTGCCGGTTCTCGGCAGTACTTTCCTCACGATCTGACAGCGTGAGGAAAGTGCAGCCGAGAACCGGCACTTGCATTTCCCTCTGATCAGCGTGTCATTGGACACCGCTGATCACGTGGTAAAAGGCCGCTGTGATTGGCCTTTTACCACATCACGTGATCAGCTGTGTCCGTTTCTCCACTTGATGATGACTGTCTTCACTGTGTTCCATGGTATATCTAATGCCTTGGAAATTCTTTTATTATTATTATACAGTTTGCTCAGCGCTTTACATTATGGAGGGAGACAGTACAGTAACAATACAGTTCAATACAAGAGGGATTAGAAGGCCCTGCTCCTTGGAGCTTACAATCTAGGAGGGAGGGGATAGTGGTACAAGAGGTAATTAGCCGTGGGGGATAGAGTGGTAGGAGGAGTAGTGGATTCCAGTATTAGCTGGGGGCGGGGTAGCCTTCCCTGAAGAGATGGGTTTTCAGAGTGCGCCTAAAGGTGAGCAGAGTAGGCGATAGCCTGATAGCTTGGGGTAGGGAGTTTCAGAAGATGGGTGAAGCCCTTGAGAAATCCTGGAGACGAGCATGGGAGGAGGAGACAAGGGAGCTAGAGAGTAGGAGGTCTTGTGAGGAGCAGAGAGTACGGTTTGGGTGGTATTCAGAGACAAGGTCGGTGATGTAATTTGGGGCAGTGTTATAAAATGGCTTTATACGTCAGTGTTAGTGTTTTGAATTTTATCCGTTGGGCAATTGGAAGCCAGTGGAGGGATTGGCAGAGAGGGGTGGCAGATATAGAATGGTTAGTAAGGTGAATGAGTCTGGCAGCAGCATTCATGATGGACTGGAGTGGGGATAACCTGCGGTGAGGTAGGCCAGTGAGGAGGGAGTTACAGTAGTCAAGGCGTGATATAATAAGGGAGTGAATGAGTTGCTTAGTGGTTTCCGAGGTTAGGAACGGTCGTATCTTAGAGATGTTGTGGAGGTGAAGTCTACATGAGTTTGTCAGTAATTGGACCTGGGGCTGAAAGGACAGATTGGAGTCTAGGATTACACCTAGTACCCTGGTGTGAGGGGTGGGACTGATGGTAGTGTTGATCTTGATGGAGAAGTCGGGGGGGGGCACGGGCTGGGGGGAATACTAGAAGCTCAGTTTTGGAAAGGTTGAGTTTGAGGAAGTGGAATGACATCCATGCCGATATGTCACTTAGTAGGCTGGTGATGCGATTGGAGACTGAGGGGGTGAGGTGAGGGGTAGAGAGATAGATTTGTGTGTCGTCGGCATAGAGATGGTAGTTGAGCCATGGGAGTTTATCAATTGGCCAAGGGAGGGGAGGTGTAGATGGAGAAGGAGGGGTCTGGGGACAGAGCCTTGAGGGACCCCGACAGAGAGGGAGTGAAGGGGAGGTGGCAGCGTTATAGGTAACAGTGAAGGAGCGTTTTTGTACCCTTCTCCTGACTAATACCTTTTAACAATGAGATCCCTCTGATGCTTTGGAAGCTCTCTGCGCACCATGGCTTTTGCTGTAGGATGCAACTAAGAAAATGTCAGGAACAGAACAGAACAGCTTCTCAGCTGTTCCATGGCCAGGTGTGTGTTATTCCCTCATTATCCCAATTACAATGAGCAGATAAAAGGTCCAGAGTTCATTTCAAGTGTGTTATTTGCATTTGGAATCTGTTGCTGTCAACTCTCAAGATGAGATCCAAAGAGCTGTCACTATCAGTGAAGCAAGCTATCATTAGGCTGAAAAAAAAAAACAAACCCATCAGAGAGATAGCAAAAACATTAGGCGTGGCCAAAACAACTGTTTGGAACATTCTTAAAAAGAAGGACCGCACCGGTGAGCTCAGCAACACCAAAAGACCCGGAAGACCACGGAAAACAACTGTGGTGGATGACCAAAGAATTCTTTCCCTGGTGAAGAAAACACCCTTCACAACAGTTGGCCAGATCAAGAACACTCTCCAGGAGGTAGGTGTATGTGTGTCAAAGTCAACAATCAAGAGAAGACTTCACCAGAGTGAATACAGAGGGTTCACCACAAGATGTAAACCATTGATGAGCCTCAAAAACAGGAAGGCCAGATTAGAGTTTTCCAAACGACATCTAAAAAGCCTTCACAGTTCTGGAACAACATCCTATGGACAGATGAGACCGAGATCAACTTGTACCAGAGTGATGGGAAGAGAAGAGTATGGAGAAGGAAAGGAACTGCTCATGATCCTAAGTATACCACCTCATCAGTGAAGCATGGTGGTGGTAGTGTCATGGCGTGGGCATGTATGGCTGCCAATGGAACTGGTTCTCTTGTATTTATTGATGATGTGACTGCTAACAAAAGCAGTAGGATGAATTCTGAAGTGTTTCGGGCAATATTATCTGCTCATATTCAGCCAAATGCTTCACAACTCATTGGACGCTTCACAGTGCAGATGGACAATGACCCAAAGCAGACTGCAAAAGCAACCAAAGAGTTTTTTAAGGGAAAGAAGTGGAATGTTATGCAATGGCCAAGTCAATCACCTGACCTGAATCCGATTGAGCATGCATTTCACTTGCTGAAGACAAAACTGAAGGGAAAATGCCCCAAGAACAAGCAGGAACTGAAGACAGTTGCAGTAGAGGCCTGGCAGAGCATCACCAGGGATGAAACCCAGCGTCTGGTGATGTCTATGCGTTCCAGACTTCAGGCTGTAATTGCAAAGGATTTGCAACCAAGTATTAAAAAGTGAAAGTTTGATTTATGATTATTATTCTGTCCCATTACTTTTGGTCCCTTAACAAGTGGGAGGCACATATGCAAACTGTTGTAATTCCTACACCGTTCACTTGATTTGGATGTAAATACCCTCAAATTAAAGCTGACAGTCTGCAGTTAAAGCACATCTTGTTCGTTTCATTTCAAATCCATTGTGGTGGTGTATAGAGCCAAAAATGTTAGAATTGTGTCGATGTCCCAATATTTATGGACCTGACTGTATAATAATAATAACAATCTTCATGGAGGGCATAAGAGCACATTGTAGTGTCTTGGACTCGGTCACTTACAGACCATTTACCGTGATCTACCAGTGAGCCAAATTAATATGAGAATATGTGCACGTGGAAGTAAGACACTGACAATTCGCAGTTTGCCAACTTCCTAAAATTCTGTTTTATTGAGGAACTAACAGTATCATTTATAGGGAATATGATGCAGGCAAAGCATATACATTGATTGGGTGAAAAGTCCACTGGGTTTCTGCGTGTTCGTCCATCCGTGTTGATATCTTCCAATCATTGTCCCCAAAGAGACTCATTCCCTTTTATGGGGGTTGTTTACATTAAAAGATACTTTTCTCCTAATGAGTCACCAAGGGCGAGACTCCGGATGAAGGCGCCATCTTAATTATCATCATTGTTCTGTCAACCTATATCTGATTGTTTACTTAAAGGAATTTAAAGAGTAAGACAGTAATTTTGTAAATCATTTTACTGAAAGCAAGATACAGACAGTAGCAAGACTATAAAATTGTCATTTTACTGATCATCTAATAAAACGTGGACTGTCAATCACAATCCACTACAATCCCCCCTTAAAATGGCTATTTTATTCCTGACTGTCCCTATGTCTTCTGATGTCCTAACTGCCTGGTGGCCCTCCCTCTGGAACTCTTTTAAGACGCATATAGAGCCCCTGAGTGGCTAATCCATCCCTAGAGTCTCGATACGTCCTGAGAAGGCCACAGTCAGGCACTGTCTTTCCCTGCTTATAGTTGTCTGTTAGGGGGGGGGAAATTTGTAGCATTCCCCTTTTTTTTTTTTTTTTATAAGTCTGAAATATGATGATCAGGGGCCATAGTCTGTAAGGGAGTATAGGATTCCCTTTCTTCACGGGGGAGTTCAACATTGTTATAGTTCAGGAATGTAGGGGTGATCTCGTTCACAGCTTTCCCTATTAGCCTCTTAATGCAAGGGATCACACAGCAGGCGACTATTGCCATTAGAATGATAATACCCAGGATAACCACCCCTGCGTGGGCGAGGGCTTTCTGCCAGCCACTCAGCCATCCAAACCACTGATCCCAGGGATGTGTAATACCTGAGTTTTCCTTAAGCTCATTTGACAGGTCCTCCAACCTCTTGATGGCCAGTGTCACCTTCCCATTTGGGCCTGTGTTATCTGGGATATACGTACAGCAGGTCATGGTCTTTGGTATCATTTTACAGACCCCCCCCTTTTTCAGCTAATAACATATCGAGTGTCATACGATTTTGAAAGACCATGTTAGAAGTAGCCTCCAACTGCTCTGCTATCCCCTTTAGGCATCTCGTGTGTAGTTTACAAATCGTTGTTGATTATAGTAGATGTAGTTTATCCAATCTACATTCTTGTTCTCAGTGATGAAGAGGAATAGGGATTCAAATCCACCTGGTCTCTGGCCTTGAATTCATCGGGTACCCCCCTTGGGACTCCTATCGCATCTATATAGACATGGGGGTCAAAACTCCCTTGTGGGGCACTTCGTTTGTGCTTGGTTGCATGGGGGGGTTTGGGAGGCACCTTAAGTAATGGATCTGAGAGGATGTGCAATGGCATTATGGCATGGAGGCGTGGGGATTGGGAGAAGGGAGAGAATGATTAAGGGGGGCCAACCACTCTTTTGAAAGGTATATATCTTTCAGTTGGAACTCACAATGGTGGATTGTGCCACCTCTGGGGTATAACACCCCTAGAAGGTAAGTTCCCTGATCTCCCGGACTCTCTATGGTCAGAGTAAGGGGGATGGCTACAGTGAATTGCTTGTTCATTTTTGTGGATCACCTATCTACCTTAGGGGTGGTAAGTGAGTGTCATTCGGGAAATTAGAGATTTTCCATACCGGTCTTTCCGCTCTACTGCACTTTGTGGCTTATACCCCCAAACCGGTCTCGTGTTCCATCCCACTGATCCCCAGTAGCCACAATCTGCTCCCCAATAATTATCTGTAACACATATATATATTGTGGAGGCAATGGGGACAGGTGTGTTCTTGCACAGGCTATGATTGAAGAAAAATGTTGCTACTTGTGTGTTGGATGAGTTATACCAAAACTGGGTGGAGT